TTCCTGTGTTGTCAACTCAGAATTCAGGAGATTTGTTGTTAAAATTTGGGTAATATATAATTTTAACAATTTTTGGTAAGTACACTGAAAGGGGTGCAAGAAACATAAATCCACAATTCTGAAGTTCTTTCAGAGTATCAGTTATGATGAAAAAAAACATTTGATGAATACAATAGCACTTGAATATGTTTTTGCACTGCATCTCTAGGGCAACATTTGGATGGAAATTCAAGAAGCCTTTGGTTAGAGTTTCATTGCCCCCAAAGTTTATTATGGAGCTGAATGATAGAATAGGCTTGCTAAATTAGTTGCTAAGGCCTACTGGTGGAAAGCATACGCTTTGGTCTGCAGTGTTGGCAAGAAAAGGAAGCAAGAGGGAGTGGATATGGCCTACTTAGTTTCACTCAAAGCCTATTCTTTCTTTCATTCCTGAAAAAGCGAAGCGCAAAGTAATGGAAATTTTACAGGGGGCTTGTAAAGATGCCCAGAATTTGCCTTCTTAATGAGATGAGCATCATATAAGCCCAAGAAAAGGACACACCTTCTAGCCTTTTGTTTCAGAGAGGCAAAATGAAGACAACCTGGGGTACCTCCGCAAGAGATTTGGGCAGGCAGAGCTTGGGAACTGTACTGCAGACCATGAGGCTCTACCTGGGGCCATGAGAACACAGCAGGCCTGGGGCTGGCACACATAGGACTGACAAGGTGGATTTGGGGATGGCAGTTGAAGTTTTGATGTAGTAGCACAAATCACATCAGCTTTTATTTCTGATTTGCTGTCTGTGTGATTTCCTTTCAATTCAAATATCTATGGATCAGCTAATAAAGCAGTAAATAAATAAATTATTTATGACTGCCTTACTGTAAGCAATACAATTCCCATTTTAACTGTTTTCCTTTGCAATCCTGTTTTGCTGCATGTATGAATCATCTGGTTCACAATCAGGGAGGTTTCCTGTAGATATCCAGGGCATTCAGGCATTTGGTTTTTTTTTTTTGCCCCCTTTTTTTACCTCTGAGGAATCCAACCCAGACTGGATTTGACTGAAAGAACTGAGTAGCTGGATCATCATGCTTTGCCTTTGTCTGCTCATGATACTCTTCAGCCAAGAATAGCTAACATTCACAAGCCCTTGAGGATACTTTTACCCTAGCCATGTGTTTGGGAACTAGACGATACAGCCATGTCTGCATGCCATGTCTGCCTCACATAATAAACTCTGCTAGTTCCAACTTGGGTCTCCACGTCACGCTGCCAGTCTTAACCCAACACCACAGAGACAGGAGGAGTTTATTTGACCCGATAACCAGTTACCATTGTCAGAAGAAAGTGATAAAAGTGAAATTTGTCGGACATGAGTTTGGCCCCATCTTTAAAATTTGTCAGCATCATTTCATTAAAGATTAAAGATATTATCACCTGACACCTCTGGCTTCAGTATTCACCATTTACAAGTATCTGAACTGGGACTGGCTATGGAAATACAGCAGCAGTCCTGTAGAATAACAAAATTATCAAAATACACTACAAAGAATGCAAAACACATGTTGGGATTTTCCTTTCATTCTACTAGGGGTTTGTTTGTTTGTTTGTTTTTTCTGTAATAAATCTATACAGAATTGATAGATTACAGTGTCTTTGATTCTTCTTACCTATACTGGAAAACATAAACCAATAATTTTTAAGAACCTAATTCCTTTTACTGAACTGTGCCTTTCCCAAGTGGCAATGAAACCCTGGAAATTCAAAAAAAAAACTCAACCCACCAGATAACCAGAAACTACACTGCAGTGCCAGTATCAACAACATAGCCATTCACTTCAAGAGTGTGAACTTATACTCTATGTATTTTTCCGCTCAGAAATGATTTGTGTGAGAAAACAGAATCTAGGCATTGATGAGGAAGGCTTTCATCTGATAATTGGATTTTTTCATTTGCACGTGCTTCCACAGTGCCTCCAGGGACTTGTATGTTCGAGTTTCTGACTCTCCCATATGGATCAAACACCTTGGCCAGACTACAGTGATGTCTCACAGTCATCCCTCTTAACGAGACACTGTAATGCCTATTGGAAAGCTAAGTGACAGAAAACTGGAATATAGTCCAGCTGAAGAATGAAATATAGAGGAAGATAAGGGCACAAGATGTTAAAACTAGAACTCCCAAGAAAACTGATGGCCACATTTACAAAGAGAAAAATTTCATTATATTTTTAAATGTCTTTTTCTTTAAGAAATAAGAAAAGTCCTGTAAAGGACACTTTATTAGAGAATAATAAAAAAAAAAATAAATAAAGACTTGCCAAAATGAATTTTCCATCATTTGTAAATGAGTTTTGACAGAAAACGTGGATCCGAATCAAACTCGCCATTGAGTGTGTTTGTCAGGAGTCAGTGCTGCCTGGGGGGCAGGCAGGGCAGGCCATGCAGGATAATGACTTACATCTGGAAATGTAAATTATAGCCCAATTCACATTGCTAGAAAAAAAGCAGAAATACCTGCCTTTCAAATACCTCGTGGATGGACCGAAACTAAAAATTTCCATGGCCTGTAGCTCGACACCATAGTACAGTAACCTTTATTTTAGTTCTTAACAGCAGAACTGACCTCAGGGGAAAGAAAATGAAAAAATCAAAAGGACAGCACTTGAGAGACAAAAATATCATTGTTTCGAACATTACAAATAGTGAGCACTCATTATTGAACTTAAGAAGTTCTGATATTTCATTCACTACATGATCAACACATCTGAAATATGGACAGTTAACATTGCTCTCAGACTTTTACAGAACACATTGAGCTACTCTTATTTGAGAAATGAAGCTCTACCAAATTATTTATAGAGCTAGTAACCAATGTATGAGCAATGCAGAAACATAAGGAGTAAAAGTTACACTTTTTAATTATCAGAGGCCAGATCAGGAGGTGTTAAACGGCATGGCTCTGCAGTGGTCTCTGAGCAGTGCTGTGACTTATGTCAGTTCTGGATGCGGATGACTATTTGCATGCGATTTGAATGCCTGTTTTCCTTACAAATGTATACCTGTTGAGGCTTTCAGTGTATTTTGCTGCAAATCCAGTAGTACAATGACACAGGTAATTCCTTGAAGCATTTCCATTTACAGTTTCCTTCAACGCTGCATATTTTACTATGTAACTAACTGCAATCAAAAAAAGTAGAAAAAAACCCCACCACCATTAACCGTTGGATTAAGTCATAAGGGAGAACCTAACTGAGAGCTAAATTGAATGAAAGTCTTCGAAAGTCAGTGGCTGAATACAACAAATATCCTATCGATAGTATGGATTATATCTTGGATGTTCATACCCCAGATATGGACACTGTCATTCGAGTTACAGAATTGCTCTAACTGGGGACATGTTGTGGGGTAGAACTAACAACTATTAATTAAAGGGGGGGGGGGGGGAACACAGCAAGAAAAAAGTACCAATTGCAATTATAATAAGATACCTCATACAGACTTCCTATTCTTGTCTGGTTCTGGTACTATCTTCATCCACCTTCTCCCTCTTCCTACTGGCTGGACACCTGTTCTTCTCGCCAGTTGAACTGGGACACTAGCTTTTCCCATCTCTCTTCTCAAAGAAGAGAAATATTTTGTTTGTGCCCCTATCTGGTCTAACTACACAGGAAATAGAAATGATAGAATATTCAGTCATATCACCACACATTAACCTGACGTGTAACTAACTATTCATTATACAGCAGCACTTGTCACAATTCAATCAGTGGTTCATTTAAATCAATATTTCTTTGAGTACAGTTTAAAGACTATTAAAAAAATCCCACTTTTATAGCTTTTCCATTGAAATTGGAGATTGCTAGCACTCATAAAAACAAAATGTGAATAGCACTGATGAAACATAGTCTAATGTAAGCAGATGATACGCAAGTACCACCAAGAATCTCTGTGAATCCAGCTCTATTCTCACCTGAAAGAGTCTTGCTTACATTCCTTCCATACTCTGATTAGATTGCAGACACTGAAACGGGAATAAATAGCTACCTGCATAAACCACCCACAACCTAGAAAGCAAATGGCATCTTGAGATAAAGATATGCAGATTTATTTTTACCATGAAGGGGAAATAATTGAATTTGAACCTGAAGGGGTTCTAAGCACGGTCTGTCAATAAATTGCATGCCAGAAAAAATAGGTCTGAATACCAAATGAAAGTGTACATTCCCAGTGGCTATTTTTATTCAAAGTATGTATACATGTGTCTGTATGCCTGGGGAGTTTCAGTTAACTGCTTGCACATCAGCAAAGGCATGGAAGATCAGATCCCATGGTGTGAATCCACAGACCCGGACTGCTACTATGCTGCCGACCTCCTGCGATCCTCGATGACATCTGAAACCGAAGTAGGTGTGCAGTGTCACAAGCACACTGAATTCTTTTTTGAAAAATGATATTAAGCTGCTAAGCATTTTATAAAAGTACATAAGGGGTTAATTTAAGACAGGTACTAATACTAGCTGGCAATGGATTTCTCTGACTTTCTGCTGCCTTCTCAAGATTTGTCAGACTGTCCCCCAATCACACCAGAATGATGAGCAATTCATGGTTAAATTTGAACACATATTCATGTCTAATTAGGTCAAATTCTTTTCCAATTAAGTTTCAACTTCTTGGACCAGTTAGTTGTGAAAATTTACTACTTAGAAATCCAGAATCACAGAGAATCACAGAAGAGAAAGTACTTTAAGATGAAAAATATCTATGATACTTTTATGTATCTTTGCCAGTCTTCAGAAGAATTCATTCTGATAACACAGTCGTGATTGAGGTACCGAGCCAGGCTTGCACAACACAGAAACTTCCTGTATACGCCACAGAACTGCAGAGAAATATATTTATACAACAAAAGACACTTTTTCAGCTTCCTTTTCCACAAAACAGGGGACAGTGGTAAAATACCGATATGTCTTGCCCACATAGCAAATATAACAAAACAACGAAAAGCATTGAACATTTATGCAGAAGTACTGTTTTCCTCAGGGTCTCTGTCTCCGAGATGAATGCTCCCTGTGATCACTGATTCCTCTTGAGCCGAGGTGTTCTCCAGCTGCTTATTTGTGCAATATGGAATGTGGCCACAAAAATACATGTAAATCCATGGATTGGTGCAACTATTTAAATTGCCAAGGAGCATGATAATGGTGAATGCTGAACCTAGAATGAAATAGTTAAAGGAATAACAGAGTAAATAAAGCGCTCGTACAAATATGTAACATTTTCACACTCTGCCGCTTTCTGGTGTACCTGCTCACATGTTAAAGTTAATCTAATAGTAGGATATTCCCATTTATTCCATGCAATTTGTAATTGTTGAAAGTATGAAGCACACTCTATTGTATGCATTGCAGAGTTAAATAGTTCCATATAGCTCTTTTTTGATGTAGCTGCATTAAATTTAAAAGCAATTTCTAACCTGCTATACAGATATGGATAAATACAGATATAGATACTGATATTAATATATGTACAGTAAGACTCAAATTTACACTGACATGAAGAATTCTTAAAACAAAGATCAGAAGCTTTCTTTTCATCAGACAGAGCTATTATCTTTTCTTCTCCTTTGTTTTATATCTTTGAGTTTAGAATAGGTGAACTTAAATAAAGTCACATACAGAGTCTGCCTTTAACAAAGAGACAACAGTAAAAGTTTGACAAGATTAATCTTGTTTACAACATGGTGTTCTTTGATATCTTTCTTGGGCTTGCTTTTTCTGCTTTAAAAGCAGCTGTTTCACAACTTCAATTGTTTCATAGTGTACTACAGAGAATTCATCAATATGTTTTCAATATTAAAAAAAAAAATAAACCCAGATGTCTTAGAACATCACTGTTCTATCCAGTAAATAAGAAATCTTTGTCTTTTTTTACTTTGAATAGTTAATTATGCCTTTTCACCTCAAGAACCCAAAATACTGCTCCTATAATATCTAAAATATCTGAAAGTCTGAACCCTTGCCGGAGCAGATGATATTTTTCCCTGTGCTGTCTATTAATCTTTAAATCATTATTCACTCAAAACACACACACACACACACAAAATACACACTTATATGATGTTTTGATCACAGAACACATGACATTTTCTGTACCTAATTAAATACAGTAGATAATCCATCCAGGATTTTCTTTTTAATCATACTCAAATGATCACATGTAACTTTTACACAAAAGCAAAGTGCTAATATAAAGCAATATAGCAATGTGCTAGCTCGCTATGAAGTTACGAATGAGGATGGAGAGTATCTTACCTTCAGTCATGACACTGGGGAACCACACAGACCACAGCTGTGCAATGAAGAAAGGTGACCAACAGAGAACATACGCAACAACTGTCACCACTGTCATTTTTACAGTCTTGATCATAGCCTTTGAAATACAGTTCACACTGCTGGCTCGGGATGGCAGGACTTGCTTCTGATTTGTTACTTCATATTCATTCTGGTTTTTCACATATATATTTCGTTTGATTATTTTGCAAATCTTAACCTGGCACGTGATAAGGATGGCTGAGGGAATGAAGAATATAACTACAAAAATCCAAGTCACATATGCCCTTGGGCCCCACGGCTGAATAAATTCACCCCAACACTCAAAGATACCTGGAGATATTTCAGTCTTAGAAAAGATAAATACCTGGGGTAGGCTAAGAATCAGTGATATAGACCAGCTGGTGCAAATTGGGATGTTCCAGAGAGCTCTCTTCTTTTGGAAAGTGACCATAGGGTAGCAAACTGCTTGGTATCTGTCCACTGTCATGACCACTATCATATAAGTGGAGGCAAACATGCCCAGCAATTGTAGATACTTGATAATTCTGCACAAGAAATCTGGCCCTATGAAAACGTCTGTAATATCCCATATGAGTTGAGGCAGCACTTGAAAAAAGGCTACCACTAAGTCAGCGATGCTGAGGTGGAGCATGAATACATACATCCTAGAGAGCTTCTTTCTTCTTCGCCACAGCACCAGTATGAGAATAAAATTGCCCACAGACGCTGTCAGAAATATGACCCCCAGTACAGCAATCTCTACTTGAGCTAATTGCTCATCTCTTTCTGGTCTTCCAACAGGATCTGACTGATTTGTCAAACTCAGGAATCTGTGAGGAGAAGGACTCTCGGTCTGATGTGTGTTATCCTGCATAGGAAATGAAAAATTCTTCATAGTGCACAGAAGCCACTTACAGTAGCTGCTACTTGCGACTCAGGTTGACAGCTGTGAAGTACCGGCTAGCAAACAAACCAGCCCGGGTTCAGGTTTCGGTCTATCTTCGAGCAAATCTCCTCCTGCTTGTGCGAACTACAGCAGTGGGACCTGGATCTTGATAAAATGCTGTCTCTTGCCGGCGTGCAAGAAGGCTTTATATAGGCTCCCAGCAGAGCCTTATGTAACTGCAGAGCCCTCGGGTAGGCTGCAGGGACCACAGCCAATGGCAGACCGAGCACACAATTGGGGGAAATATATAAATAAAAGGCAAACTTCAGAGGCTCAACGTAATTCAATTACTCACTTCAGTCAAAGCTTGAACTTGTAAATAGCTGTGGCCAAAATCATACTTAAATGATCTTACTCGGGAGAGTTCTTGCAAATATTTTTTTTACGCAAACCAGAAGTGCATGCTTCGGCTGAAGCGGGAGGAATGTTTACACGTAGACGGAAAGTTGGGCCCCTGAGCCCAGGCGCATCGTAACTGCAATTCTCTAGGCTCCTGGGGCACGACCACATCCTAAATGCAGCAGAGACAAAAAGTAGTGCATTTTTTCCATAGCTTTTTTTTTTTCCCCCTTCTCTTTTTTGGAGTCACCTGATACTGAAAAAAAAATTAAAATATTTTAACTGCCCTAAAAATAATATTTTTATTGCAAGACGGGGTCAAGACTTAGAGGTTTTTTCTCAGCAAAATGAAAAATAACACATGTGAAATAAATTACTTTAATGGGACTGTGAGTCTACTGAGAATTTAACAGAAAAATAAGTGAAAATTCAGTGGGAAATCCAACTGAGGAAAAGGTCTCTACAATGAAACAATTTCCAAGAGTCTCTATTCTACTATATTGCTAAAGGCTGGGAAGTCATTTTTCAGTACCTAATCCTTTCGATTTTTGTGGAGTAAGTTGTATCATGGCCACAAGAATTTCATTGTTCTTTGATCTTCCAGTATGACTTTTGCATATTATTAGTTGCAGAAAAGAAGAGCAATTTTGATTTAATTTTATTTTTTCTCCCTCAGTCTGCCCTCTTAATCACGAAAGATGGATTTAATAAAATGTATTTATTTAATATGAAAGATAACACATATTTGTATGCAATCTTGCCTGAAGGTAGAGCACTCATATCCTTTTGGTTACAGTCGGGAGACCGGCAATTTGAAGTCTTTCTGAAGAGGAAAACGATAAGGTTAAAAGTATGTCCATGCTGCATGTAGAGTACATAATACTGCACCTACACTGATTAATCGCTGTGATCATGACTATGTTATGCAACCAGCTGAGGAATCTTGTAAACAGACTACCATCTCTTTGGCACTAAATGTTTTCATGTATCACCAGACAGGGGAAGGGCAAAATTCATAAACAGGATGCTGAGAGAGACTACAACGGTTCATAAAAACAGCCTGATCACTTTTCTCTCCCTCGTTTCGCCTTCCATCCCACCATGGGACTGATGTTGACATCTCAAGCAAGGGCAAGACTATGAGAACAGACAAGAGACAAGCTGAGCAATGTCAGGAAACTTTGCCACCCACAGCAGCTATAAGTATCCGTGATCCAGATTTGGCTGAACGCTGCTGCAGCTGCCTGAGCCTACAACAGCTTTTCTCTATGACCATGTTGCAAAGTGCATGAATCACAGCAACTTAATCTAATATACCTGATAATTTTTTCCTAAATGTAAGCCTGTTTGTAGGAAACCTGGATTCCTGAGGTTGTTTCCTTTCAGTTTTCCCTCCAGTTTGGAATCTATCCCAATTACTGGGAAACAGCACGGCAAGACCGTAACGGAACAAATGGTTTTGCCTTTACCCTCGCCCTCCCTTCACCCAGCAATGTCCACAAGAATAACTGAATTGGCTGCAGACCACGAATCCCTGGCAATTCTGCTGATGGCAAACACTGCGCTGCAGAGCAGGCTGGCTAATCTCCAGTTCTGCCTTCAGATGGAGACAAAATTTCAAGTGTGTGCTCCAAAATCATTTACTTTGACCATCCTCACTCCATGACTTAACAACAAGCCGGGTGGGATCTTTATTCTTCTAGCAGGATACTGGGTAGCCATCTACATCTAGGCAGAGCTAGGACTAAGAGGGTTGAAACAGGAACGTGTTGAACAGAAAACTAAGCCCAGGGTCAGACATGGTAGATAAATTTACATTTCATGATCTGAAAGATGATCAAGGAATTATATGTAAAAAGACCAGAATATGCAACACAAGTCACTTCTGGGACACTATTGGCAGACTAACCAGAATATAGTACCAGAAGCACAGATTCGTATGATTTTCACAGCGCATAATGTATGGGTAGACATGTGTTTCAGGCAAATGTGTTTTAGCACCTACACCTGGAAGAGTTAAACAAGATCCCTGGAAACAGGCAACTCTTCCTAGGCATACACACGCATGCAGCACGTCCTGTCTGGGCAGCAGACATGCTATAATTAAGGTGTCAGGCCCAGCATGTGGACATAGGTTAAAGGGCAGGCATGCTCTGCAACAAGTAGCCTTTGCCATGTTTATAAAAAGGGAGGTGGCCCTCCTTGTACAAGTTGTCCTAGTGATGTAAGGCTCTACTCCATCTTGCATATAATCAGTTCAATATATGTTAATGGTTTCATAACTTTATAATTGTGCCCTTTCCATCTTTTTCATCCACACTAGCAGACATTCGGGATAACGTTATACTGAAATTGAATCCACTCTGGGAATATAACTCACTGAGAAAAGAAAAACAGGGTAACAGATGAAAATGTTTAAGTAGTCTTAGCTGTTCTTTTACTCCAATAGTGTCCTTCTCCTGTTGCCCAGCTTTTCTTCATTCCAAACCATATCTGTCCAAGTTAAATTCTTTTCCTAAATTATTTACTTTCAGTAGTGTGGGAAGGCATATTTTAATTAACTTCTGCTGAATTTCTCAGTGTGGGTTCTCATCTAATGTTTGTTTTCTAGCTAGTCGGGAGGGATACAGCTCACGGATTAAGGCTTAAATTTAGGTGTCTGCTTAGAATTACAGAATCACACAGTTGCTCAAAGCAGGGACAACACTGAATTCAGGCCAGTTTACTTAAGCATATGTCCCATCAGGTCTTGAAAACCTCCAAAAGCAAAGACCCCACAACCTCCCTGGGTAACCAGTTGCAAACGCTTAAATATTTTCATTGTGGAAAAGCTTCCCTATGTGCCACCAGACCCTCCCCTGATCCCGACCACCATCTCTCATTCTTCTGCCATCACCTCAGTTAAGAGCCTGACTCGGACCTCTTGCCAGCCTCCCCGTAGGTACTGGGGGGCACTGTTACACCCCCTGAAGCCATCTCTCCTCCAGGCTGAACAAGCTGTATTTGGAGAATCACAGAAGATGTATTCGATGAGTTAGTGATCTTGAACAGGGCACGTCTGCTCTCCTGGGCCTTGTACTTAAAGCCTGTGCTGTGCAGTGGTGAACGGTATGACAGAGATGACATCCTAGCCTGTCAGGAGAAGTTATATGACTGTTTGCTGCACAAAATAAAAGGCTCCACAGTGTGGGAGGGAGGGGAACCCCTCCACAGGGGTGCAGCGTGCAGTGTGCCAGCGGAAGATCTATCTGGTGTCTGTCCGATGCTGCACAAAAGTGGGATTCCCAGCATTGGAAGGGACCTAAGATTTCCTTGCTATCTACATTCCTGGATTTATCTTATCTTACGAAAACAGCTATTTTACTGTTGCACCCCACTGGTGCAAAGCCCAGCTCACTCAGCCTCCCCCAAGAGGTTCCATCTTCCAGCCCCCCGATCATCTTCACAGCCATGTGCTGAGCTCACTCAAGCTCATCACCCCTTTCCTATGCAGGAGCTCCACAGCCAGCGGCACTATTACAGACGTGGGATAACGACTGCTGAGTAGAGGGCAATAACCGCTTCCCTTGACCTACGGATTACGTGTGAGCCATGTGTGTCAACTCCCATCACATCCAAAGAGAATCAAGGCTTCAGTTCAGTGCCTAAATGTAGGTACAGAGTACTGTTTGACTTGCCCTAGGGTGTACTGAGATGGCCCAAGACTCATTTAGCACAGGCTTTACCCTATTGTTGTGTGAGGATTGTGGAACAATTTAACTTTCTAAAATTGTTCCATGTCATTTCCTCAGTGTATTATTTTTTAAATATTATCTTGGACGATGAGAAATTGCCTAGCTTGTTGTGATTATTGCAATTTGCAAAATTCCAACATTATGCAATTAATAATTCCTTCGTCCGTCCTCTGGCATCTGATACTCTAAATCTGTGGTACTGTCAAGTCATCCATTTGAATTTACTGGGGCTATACAGGATATAAATCAGGTAAGCATTTTTTCTGTACCTGTAGCTGAGTAATCATTTCAAGTCACTTTGTTGTTCAGGGAGATATTTTCAAAGCTAGGATTTAGGCAAACCTCAGCCACAACTTCACCTGTGGCAACAATACTGACAATACTAGCCTGAGTACCTTAATCACAGAACCACTGAATCGTAGAAATATTGGTTGGAAGGGACATCTTGAGGTCTTCCTCCAGAGCTTAACTACCTATTGAAGTGGGACTATCACCATCAGGTCAGACATAGCTTTGTCCAGTTGAGCCTTGAAATCCTTCAAGTATGGAAATTCCACCTCTCTGGGCAGCCTGTTCCAGTGCTCTTGGTGAAGAATTACTCCTTAATGAGCCTTCAGAACCTCTCACAGTGGCCATTGTCCCCTATTAGAACACCCACCACCACTCAGAAGAATTTGGTTCCATCAACTCTGTAGCTGCCCTTAAAGTACTTACAGGCTGGTATTAGATTACTCCTTAAGCAAATCTTTGCCAGACTAAACAATCTTTGTCTTCCAAAAATGGCACGAATTGCAGTGCATTGCAGATGCTTTTCACCAAGCCAGGCAAGGAATATATGCTGAAGCAGAAATACATATATTTTAGTGTTAAAAGCCCCCCACCAACTTCTAAAAACCAGAAACTGTTTCATCTCATGACAGACATTACTTATTAAATCCAACTTAGGAAGATAATAGGTTTGCACTCTTTTACTTTGGAATGAATAAACAAGTTCTAAAAAGTTCCTATTTAAGAAAAGATCAAGTGGA